TTATCATGTTGTGAAGCCCCTGGGGTTACCTGGTATGAACCCCCCGGGGGCATCACTGTTTTGAACCCTGGGCTTATCATGGTGTAAAACCCCCCGGGGTTACATGTTTTGAAGCCCCGGGGGTTTCATGTTGTGAAGGGGCCCCTGGGGTTACACTGGTTTGAACCCCCCGGGGTTATACTGTTTGAACCCCCGGGGGGTTTTCATGTTTTGAAAACCCCGGGGGTTTCACGGTTTTGGAACCCCTTTTGGGGGTTTCTTGTGAAAACCCCTTTGGGGTTTTCACTGTTTGGTTTTAACCCCCCGGGGTTTCATGTTGTGAACCCCTGGGGTTTTTCATGTTGTGAACCCCTGGGTTTTCAAGTTTTTGAAGCCCCCCGGGGTTATCCTGTTGTGAAGCCCCCGGGGTTATCACTGTTGGGAAGCCCCTGGGGTTTCACTGTTGGGAAGCCCCCGGGGTTATCACTGTTTGAACCCCCCGGGGGGTTTTCATGTTGTGAACCCCTGGGGGTTATCACTGTTTTTTTAACCCCTGGGGTTATCATGTTGTGAACCCTGGGGTTATCCTGTTGTGAAACCCCGGGGTTATCACGTTGTGAACCCCCGGGGTTACATGGTATGAACCCCCCGGGGCATCATGTTTTGAACCCCCCGGGCTTTTCATGGTGTGAACCCCCTGGGGGTTTTCATGTTGTGAAGCCCTGGGTTTTTCATGTTGTGAAAACCCCCGGGGGTTTTACTGGTGTGAACCCCCCGGGGTTTCCTGTTTTAACCCCCTGGGTTTCACTGTTGTGAAAACCCCCGGGGGTTTTCATGTTGTGAACCCCCCGGGGTTATATGTGTAACCCCCCCGGGGGTTTTCACTGGTGTGAAGCCCCCGGGGGGATCACTGGTGTGAAGCCCCTTTGGGGTTATCCTGTGTGAAGCCCCTGGGTTTCAGGTGTGAAACCCCCCGGGGTTTCATGGTGTGACCCCCCGGGGTTATCACTGGTGTGAACCCCCCGGGGTTTCATGTTGTGAACCCCCCGGGGTTTTCCTGGTGTGAACCCTGGGGTTTCACGTTTGGGAACCCCCTGGGGTTATCATGGTTTGAAACCCTGGGGTTATCACTGTTGTGAACCCCTGGGGTTTTTCATGGTGTGAACCCCCGGGGGTTTTCATGTTGTGAACCCCCTGGGGTTAAACTGGTTTTGGAAACCCCCCGGGGGTTTTCACTGGTGTGAACCCCCCGGGGTTATCAGGTGTGAACCCCTGGGGTTTTCACTGTTGTGAAACCCCTGGGGTTATCCTGTTGTGAAACCCCCCGGGGTTTTAAAGGTGTGAACCCTGGGGTTATACTGTTGTAAGCCCCCGGGGTTATCCCCTGTTGTGAAGCCCTGGGGTTTTTCACTGTTGTTTAAGCCCCCGGGGGTTTTCACTGTTGTGAACCCCTGGGGTTTTCCTTTGTGAACCCCCGGGGTTATCACTGTTTTGAACCCCTGGGGTTATCCCCGTTGTGAACCCCCGGGGTTTCACTGTTGTGAACCCCCGTGGTTTCATGTTGTGACCCCCCGGGGTTTTTCATGTTGTGAAAAACCCCGGGGGTTTTCATGTTGTAAAACCCCCCGGGGTATCATGTTGTGAACCCCTGGGGTTTTCACTGTTGTGAACCCCCTGGGGTTTTTATGTTGTGAACCCCTGGGGTTATCATGTTGTGAAACCCCCGGGGTTTCATGTTGTGCCCCTGGGGTTTTCACGTTGTTTAACCCCCTGGGGTTATTTATGTTGTGAACCCCGGGGTATCATGTTTTGAACCCCCCGGGGTTATATGTTGTGAAACCCTGGGGTTATCAATGTTGTGAACCCCCGGGGTTTTTTCATGTTGTGGAACCCCCCGGGGTTATCATTTTGTGAAAACCCCGGGGTTATCATGTTGTAACCCCCCGGGGTTATCATGGTTTTTGAACGCTGGGGTTTTTACTGGTGTTTTAACCCCTGGGGGTTCATGTTGTGAAACCCCGGGGGGACCTGTTGTGAACCCCTGGGGGGTTTTCACTGTTGGAAAACCCCTGGGGTTTTCACTGGTGTGAACCCCCCCGGGGGTTTACTGGTGTGACCCCTGGGGTTATCATGTTTGTGAACCCCTGGGGTTTTTATGTGTGAACCCCTGGGGTTTTCCTGTTGTAAACCCCCTGGGGTTATCACTGTTGTGAACCCTGGGGGTTTTCATGTTGGAACCCCCCGGGGTTTTCACTGTTTGAAGCCCCCGGGGGGTTTTCACTGTTGGAAACCCCCCGGGGGATCACTGGTGTGAACCCCCCGGGGGTTTTCATGTTGTGAACCCCCTGGGGGTTATCACTGTTGGAAAACCCCGGGGTTTATACTGTTGTGACCCCGGGGTTATCTGTTTTGAACCCCTGGGGTTATATGGTTTTGAAGCCCTGGGGTTATCACTGGTGTGAAGCCCCCGGGGGTTTTCACGGACCCCCCGGGGGTTTTCACTTTGTGAACCCTGGGATAACCCCGTTTGAAAACCCGGGGTTAAAAATTTTTGTGACCCCCTGGGGGGTTATACTGTTGTGCCCCCCGGGGGATCACTGTTGTGACCCCCCGGGATTTTCACTGTTGGAACCCCCGGGGTTATACTGTTGGGACCCCCCGGGTTATCACTGTTTGACCCCTGGGTTTTCACTGTTGTGAACCCCCGGGGTTATCATGGTGTGAACCCCTTTTGGGTTTTCATGTTGTGAATTTTCCCGGGGTTTTCACTGTTGTGAACCCCCCGGGGTTATCCTGTTTTGAACCCCCCGGGGGGTTTCATGTTGGAAGCCCCCGGAGTTATCCCGTTTTGAAAAACCCCGGGGTTTCACTGTTTGTGAACCCCTGGGGTTTCATGGTTGGAGCCCCCGGGGTTATCACTGGGGTGAAGCCCCCGGGTTATCACTGTTGTGAACCCCCGGGGTTATCCTGTTGGACCCCCGGGGGGTTTATCATGTGGAACCCCTGGGGGTTTCATGTTGTGAACCCTGGGGTTATCACTGGTGTGAAACCCCCCGGGGTTTCATGTTTGGAACCCTGGGGTTTACTGTTGGAACCCCGGGGTTTCCTGTTGTGAAACCCCCGGGGGTATCACTGGGGTGAACCCTGGGGTTTTCCTGTTGTGACCCTGGGGGTTTTCACTGTTGTGAACCCCGGGGGGATCATGGTTTTAACCCCCGGGGTTTTCCTGGTGTGAACCCTGGGGGTTTTATGTTGTGAACCCCCCGGGGTTATCATGGTGTGAAGCCCCCGGGGTTATCACTGGTGGAAACCCCGGGGTTATCACGTTGTGACCCCTGGGGGGGTTTTCACTGGGGAACCCCCTGGGTTTATCACTGTTTTTGACCCCCGGGGTTATCATGTTGTGAACCCTGGGGTTTTACTGGTGTGAACCCCCGGGGTTATCACTGGTGTGAACCCCCGGGGTTTTCACTGGTGTGAACCCCTGGGTTATCATGGTGTAAAACCCCCGGGGTTTTCCCGGTGTGAACCCTGGGGTTACACGGGTGAACCCCCGGGGGGTTTTACTGTTGTGAAGCCCCCCGGGGGTTTTCCTGGGGTGAACCCTGGGGTTTTCATGGTGTGAACCCCTGGGGGTTTTCATGTTGTGAACCCCTGGGGTTTCATGTTTTGAAGCCCCTTGGGTTATCACTGGTGTGAACCCCCGGGGTTTTCCTGGTGGAAACCCCCCGGGGTTATCATGGGTGAACCCCCGGGGTTATCCCTGGTGTGAAAAACCCCGGGGTTATCACGGTGTGAAACCCCCGGGGGATCATGTTGTGAACCCCCCGGGGGTTATCACGTTGTGAGCCCTGGGGTTTCCTGGTGTGAACCCCTGGGGTTATCACTGGTTTTGAACCCCCGGGGTTTATGGTGTGAACCCCCGGGGTTATACTGGTGTGACCCCCGGGGTTATAAATTTGTGAACCCCCCGGGGTTATCACTGTTTTGAAGCCCCTGGGGTTATCACTGGTGTGAACCCTTGGGGTTATTCATGGTGTGAACCCCGGGGGGTTTCACTGGTGTGAAAACCCCCGGGGTTACACTGGTTGAACCCCCCGGGGTTATACTGGTGTGAACCCCGGGGTTATCACTGGTGTGAACCCCTGGGGGTTACACTGGTGTGAACCCTGGGGTTATCATGGGGTGAACCCCCGGGGTTATCATGGGTTTTTGAACCC